CCCCAAAACCCCAAAACCCCAAAACCCCAAAACCCCTTACTATATATAAATAAATGAAACAGGGTAAGTAAAACATGGTGGAAATTTATTTTACTGCCTATTGCTACTCAACTATATCATCCCATCCAATACACTAGTTGTAGCTCTACTTCTTGTCTTTACCTTGACATTATGGTAATTATATTATCGCCTGCAACTGCTTAAGGTTCAGTGGAAATTCTATCAATAAGCAATGAATGAGTTCTCGCATAGATTCAAAAATTAAGAAAATATTACAAATGCTGAATGACAAAGACAATATTAAAGGGTACTTATTGTGATGACATTTTTAATTGCTATATCTCAAGCATATTTCTTCCTTTTAGCCTAAGCTAACTTATCTATAGCGAAGAGAGATCTGAAGAAAGTAAGGAGTCCAAGCATTACCAGTGAATATAATTAAGTTCTAGCATTAACACATTTTCTGCTGCCTTTATTCATCTTATTATTTGCCTGATATGTTGCAATAAAGAGGACTTCAAAATTGGAATAATTGATGTATTCTAAAAGATCCACTTGAGTTGCTATTTTATAGATTGAATTAATAAGTTATATCAATCCTAATCTACATGCAGAAGAAGAAATCTGGAAACTTTGCATGAGGTTGGAAAAGGATCTTTCAGACCTATAAAGTTTGAAATTTTAGTCCTTTGATATCTAGATCGCTCATGCTGTCTAAATTAACTAACACAAGCTTCATAAAAGCTATTTTATATTTACTAATATCAGTATTTATGCTTCTATATAGACAAATAAGTCTATCAAGATGCTCCAGAGTAAGGAAAACAGATAATTCTTTAGAAGACATAACATCGCATACGAAATCATATAATAAAGACCTCAGGAATTTTATTAAGAGTAATTCTTCTAGAAATTTACAATTTAAACCGTTCTTTTAAAAGAGGCAATTTCAATTGCATTCTTATTCTCTCTGATGCTAATTACATAACTGCGAGGTAGCAATGCCAAACTCTCATAAAATCATCTCAAAAGGATGCAAGATTATTTAGATAAATGGTCTAAATATGTTTAAAAAATTTGAGATGATTCTTAATAGTCAGACTATGAACTCAGTCCTAAATATAGGTATCGAGCAGAGGAGCCAGAACTTTAAAGGGACCACTCTTAACCACAGAAATGATATAATCCCTAGTGCAAATTACAATTCTTGCAGAAATTTTGAGCGACAGTCATACCACAACGGTAAATTTTTATGATAAGTTGTTTAGAAGAAAAATTTAAGGAAATTAAATTAGGCAATATAAACCCTACCTGGGATACTAAACGGATGATGAATAAGATCAAAGAGAATCCTTCTGGAAGATCTTCAGACTCTTACATGAAGATTCTGAGGAAATTAAAGATCACTAAAAATCAGTAACTTTTGGTCTGAATAATGCCTAGATCTCAAAAATCATTGAAACAAGCAAGGAATAATTATTCATTAAAAACTTTGAATATTTATTCATCAAAATCTCCAAAGATACACAAGGTTACGAAAAAGAGGGAGTTTCGAGATCTATCAGATGGGCCTTACTTCTCTACAATTACCAAAGACTTAGAGATGAATGCAAATATGAAGAGGAGTCCATCTAAGTTACAGCCTTTGCATTGTAACAATGATATTTCCATCAGGAATACACAAAATTTCCCTGAAGGCATAAGAAAGCCGAGGAAATTAGTAACAAAGCAGTCTAACTTTGATGAGCTAAGCTCAAGGTTGTCATATATAAAGTCTCCCATCGTAAGCTCACCAGATCGGTGAATGCTCATCGAAGATCATGAGAGGCTTCAGTGAGGCAATAAGTTTAACTATCAATTTCCAATAACTAGTAGGAATGATAATTGAACTAACTATGTTAATACAGAAGTAATCTGTCAAGATCTGTATAAATTGCCTGAGAAGATCAACAGAATTCCAAAAAGACCTGTCCTTGAGCATAAGAATAGATTTAAAAGGGACAAGAAACGCAGGCACTACAAAAATTCGGCCCCACAATCTTTATCACAAGAGAAGCTAGATCATCAAGAGAATTGTGAGATTCATCTAAAAGAGACTGAGAGGAACAAGGCTCCTCCGAATGAAATCTCGTGAAAGGAGACTAAGCGTGATGATTCAGATTCTTTCACTACAATAACAACAAATTCACCCTCTTTTAAGCACGAAATTGTATTTTCTTCCTAAATCTTTAGAGGGGAATTGATAAAGTGGTCATAAAATGAGCATTTCAAGCACACAAAAAGAGAGATACAAGTCAAGAGAGCACTGAAAAAAGTTGGGTAAAGGTGAGCAAGTACTAATAATCACTTAGCCAATCAATTTCCCTCTTCAAATCAAAGACAACTATGGAAACACTGACTTGTTCGAATAAGTTTCTAATTCAACAACTGCTTTTTAATAGGGGTTTTGGGGTTTTGGGGTTTTGGGG